GTAGCATAACTTTTTTTAAAAATTGTGATAAAATACACATAACATAAAATGTACCATCCTAATCATTTTTAAGTGTACAGTTTGGGCATTAAGGACATTCACATTGTTGTGCTAGCGTCGCCACCACCCATCAACAGAATTATTTTCATCTTAAAAAACTGAAACTCTGTACTCAGGCGCCCAGCCTCTGGCAACCACTGTTCTGCTTTCTCTTTTCCTGAACTTGACTACTCTGCGCACCTCATATACGCAGAATCAGACAGCATTTGTTTGTTTGTGACTGGCTTATTTCACCTGGCATAATTTTCAGCTTTATGACTGCTGTGGATTTTGGCCGGGGAGGGGCACCAACGCCAGCCCTACGTAGAGCTGAGAAGTAAGGAGGGGCTTATCCCCAGCTAGCCCACTTTCCTGCCTCATCCTTCCCTGAGTTCCCACCGACTTCAGATCCCTACTCACGGCGAAGTGGCCTTACCCCCTCATCCCATCTCCTGCTTACCTAGAGAGAGCCTCTGATTTGCTTTGTGTGGGCCGTGTGTCCATGCCTTAGCAGAGGACAGATGGCCACCTCATCTGACAATCTCGCCTAGATGGAATAGAATAAAGGAGGGGATGTATCCTCCAAAGAGGCTCTGCTGCATGGGAGGGAGCTGTGGATGGTGGGCAGGCAAGAACCACAGGCGTCCCTGACGGGGAGGTCCTCCAACCAGGTTTAAGTGCCTTTCAGCCTTCCCATTCCACATGGTGCCAGGCTTGACTGTTTCCCCTTTGGGCCCTGTTCACAAAGGTTTTGATGCCTTGGCTTTTGTTGCAAAGTTTTCAGCAGCTTCAGTGCCAGTGCCGGGCCCCAGACACACTTTCACTGAGTGTGACTGTAGCCCACACAGGCTGCCCTCAAACACCAGCAGCCTGGAACACAGGTTACGGACTCAGATTGCCTAGGTTCGGTCCTAGCTTGGCAATCTCCAGGCTATGTGGCCTTGAGCAGGTAACTTCACCTGTTGACGCCTCAGTTCTCCCATCAGTAAAATGGCAAAATAATAATACCTACTCCATTAAGATGTTTTGAAGATTGAAAAACCTACTGCTGTAAGTGCTTGACCTGTATCATCTTACTTATGATCACAACCAACCTACTACCCGTGGGAAAAAGGCACCCAAATTCTGGGCACACTGCCTAGCATGAAGAACTTGAGCTAGATTTCAACTTTACGCACACTCTGAGTTGGGCAGCCTTCTGGAGAGCCTATATACACACTGTACACAGCAGCCTTGCCATGAGGCAGGTACTTGTGTGTCCCCATTTTCCAGATGAGGCAGCTGTGGCTGAGAGAAGTTGAGCCCCATGTGGTGATGGGGTGTGGAATCCCTTCTAGCTCACCTATTTACTTAGTGCACATGCCAAAGAAGCTAAGCACCACCTGTGCCGTGGACCACATCCCTTTGGCACCAGCTCATCAGCTTACACCTTGTGCATCTTCCATAGTAGATAGCAACCACATGCCTCTCTAGCACTTAATCTGTAGACCGGTGATACCAATCTCTAGTCTATTACTCTATCTATTACTTTGACAATCATTTAAAAAACTAAGACATGTTATTTGAAAGAAGGGAAAAGGTGGAAAGAAGCACACATTTGCATCCAGGCACCATCCTGACTTGGTGATTATTTTTTCATTTCAGCAGCCCACTCATTACCCAGACAGCAAGGACCCCAAACATTGTGGGTCTGAGTGAATCCTTCTGGAGCTGAAAGATCAGCGTTACCAATATTTGGCAAAGCAGATTCCAGCTTTGGGGGTTTTCCCTCTAATTTCTTGTGTTCCCTGGGAGCATGACATGTGGCTGGGTGATTTAGGGGAGGGCAGATTAAGTAAGATGCCCACCCCTCGTTTTCAAACCCTTCCCTTCTTTCCTCGATGAACAGGCAGCAGCCACTGCTTCCTGTGCCCCATTTAAAATTGTGATTTGTGTCATATCTTTGTGAATGGGGAGAACAAGGAATTGTATGCTGGACATATGAATTAAATCTATTCGTGTGTCTCCTTTGTGAATCTGTATATTATGCAGACTGTATGCTCTCAAAGACAGATCACTGGTTAAACTGAGGTACTGTGGGGGAATTGATTTGTTCACAGAACTCTGAATATAATTGAGGAGCGCTGCCAGTTATGTCTCTGATTTAACTGTCTGTCTAAGCCTATGTCTTGGATGGTGAGATCGCAAAGTATAGTTCAGATTTGAAACAGCTGCAGCAGAGCCAGCCACATTGGGTGGTGTAAATAGCCCCCAAGTGACATGAAGTAAAGTAGCACATATTGAAAGGGAAACTTTCTAAGGTTCGGACCCAGCATTTTCCTGGCAAACCTCCCACCAGAGCGGGACCCAGGGGACACCAAATGAAAGATGATGCAAAGAGAAGCAGGCTTGGCCCATGTGTCTCTGAGAGGCCAAATGCAGTCAGAGTGACTGAAATGATCTGCTCGAACAGATTAGATGTTTTAACACCAATTCTCAGGCCTCAAAAGCGAGCCTGGCTGCTGGCAGACAACCAACACTGCCTTGCTTAATTTTTAGATTTGGCTGTCAAATTTCTCCCAGTGTGAGTTTGTGTTTGATGGGACTTATGAGGGTGGAAGATTCCTGGTAGCAAAGCCTGAGTTCTAGCTCAGTGACTTACCAGCTGTGTGACCTTGGACAAGCCATTTCACCCCATGGAGAGTGTTTACTCATCTGTGCAATGGAGGAAACGCCCCCTGCTCTGCTTGCCTTCTGGGAGTTTAAAGATCAAATAAGATGGTGTTTGGGAATGTAAAAGCACTGTGCAGATGACAGGCATAATTACATTCGCGGACAGAACATTGAATCCGTTCTGCCTGATTCACTCAATTCTCCATTTAATTTACATACTGTGGATTTTACCCCTCTTTCTTGCAGCAAAACCCTTTGGAGAGTATCATTTTTAGACCTGAATTGATATAAGTGTAGCTGCCTTATTTATCCTCAGAGTCCTCTGGGATGAAGAAAAGAATGGAATTAAGAGGAAAAGTAGATCCAGAGTGATGGTAGCTCAAGGGCACAAAGAATTCCCACCCAGATGTTCTTTCTTTCCTAGATGACACTGACATCTAATCTAAAGCAAAAAGCTTCTCATCAAAAATTAGGCTCGGGCTTCCCTGGTGGTGCAGTGGTTGAGAGTCCGTCTGCCGATGCAGGGGACGTGGGTTCGTGCCCCGGCCCGGGAAGATCCCACGTGCCACAGAGCGGCTGGGCCCGTGAGCCGTGGCCGCTGAGCTTGCGCATCTGGAGCCTGTGCTCCGCAACGGGAGAGGCCACCACAGTGAGAGGCTCGCGTACCACAAAAAAAAAAAAAAAAAAGTTAGGCTCACAATTCCCCCAACTCCTCCTCCTCCTCCGCATCTGCTCCCTCTGGATGAAATTGCCCAGTTTATGCGTTGCTGTCCTGAGCCACACTGGCCACAACATCTAGTACCTCTAAGTGCTGGGCAGACAATATATATTTGGTAAATATTTGTAATAGAAGACAATAAAAATGGAGCTCTAAAATTGTTCTCTCATCACCTTAAGTTTCTGAAACTACAAATCAAGAAACAACATGTTTACTGTATTTCCACAAGTCTGAAATAACACTGCTTCTAAGACCGAAAGAAAGCCTGTGCTTAGTAGATGGGCCTGGAGTGAATAGCATAAGGTACAGGGAACCCCTAGTGTGTCTAAGGTTCCATGGCAGCTGCGAGAAGCCAAGCTAGCACAGGAGAAATTGAACTTTTTTTTATGTACCAAAAAGAAAGGAAAAACTCCATCAGTTAAAACATGACACGATGCTTCCTTAATTGTGTCAGTTATAAGCCACAACTTGATTTCACAGATGTTAAAATGTGAAAGAAATATGCATCTTAGAAGAGATGAAAGGCAGTCTATTTAACCCCTCGGAAAAGTAAAGATTTCTTTTTTTGGTTCTGATACATTCTTAGGTTAGCCAAGTTCAAACTGTCTCAGTTTTAGCCCCAGCTCCTTGCATTTATATATTATGGAATCATCCTTTCATATGGGTAGAAGGGGGACATTAATTCTATTTTTCTTATGGATACAGTAATACAAAGTACTTTAGGGCTTGAAAGTAGTTTTTGGTAAGTGAGGATTGTAAAATGCTTATCAGAACCAAATTCACATTAATTCTATGGACTGTTGTTTATTATGAGATTTAAAAGAGTAAGAAATGTTGAAGAGTATTTGGCACGTTTATTGTGCTTTCTTTTTCCCAGGTAGTGCTTTCTGTGATTTTTGTTGTGGCTCTTGCTGTTTTATTTAACGCTTGATTTGGCAGTTTTGTTGTTGTTATTCAGTTTATTCTTAGTTCAGGTAAAGCAACTGAGCTGTGAGTTTCCATTGCACAGAGAAATTAGGCATGAATAGGCTCATGTGATGAGAACCCATCACCTGCCTGGGCTAAATGTGACATTTTCATAAAATTCGAGGTGGGAATTCATAGTTTTTCTGGAGAAAAGGGGAGAGCATGAAGAATGCAAGGAAATCAGGGAAATAGAAATACAGCTTTTGTGACAATCCTTTGTAAATTTTTCATGGACCAGTCCCTGCTCATAAATTCTGCAGTTTGGGACAAGAAAAATTCCACCTGTTTGTAGCCTGTTCTTTAGTTACCTTCTCACATTCCTCTGGCCTATCAGGACATTTATACACAACCGCAAAGAGAGTCATTTAAAAAAAAAAAAAGGGGGGAGGTTTCTAGGGACTAGACCATGGCCAGTGGAGAGGAATGATCCAATAACTGTAGCTCCTGTACGTGTTTGATAACAATCATTTGGTTCCATGATGCCTTGTTTCCTGCCGGAGTCCCAGGGCCCGTTACTGTGATGATGAGTGTCAGTAGCCATCGTGCTGGGCAGGAAGTGGGTAGGAAGCTGTTAATGTTTGACCACTACTAATGCACATTTTGCCCACTCTTCTCTCATCTGCAGTCTGAGTACCACTACGAGTACACTGCGTGTGACAGCTTGGGTTCCAGGTGGAGGGTCGCCGTGCCGCATACCCCAGGCCTGTGCACCAGCCTTCCTGACCCCGTCAAGGGCACCGAGTGCTGTAAGCAGCCCTGCCTCTCAGCTTTGGCCTCTGCCCCAAGCCTCCTGCCATCCAAGTTAGGCACTTCCTGACAGTGTGGCTGCCTTAAGGAATCGGATCTCGCCCCGCCCCCCTCCCACCCGGTCAGTCCTCATCCCCAAACCTCTTGAGATTTGGTGCAGAAGTGTTATTTTGTGGATGCAAACTGGGTATCTCAATTTATTTTTGTTTTATTTTCAGATTTAAATCCCATGAGGGTATAGAGTAAAAATAATTCCGGCTGTGTGCCACTTAGATATTTTCTCTGTTTGCATACATTTTCTTTTTTTGACTATGCATTTCTCTCCAACCTACACTCACCAGCCACAGTCACTCATTTAGGAAAGATTGTGATTTGCAGTCGTTCTTGAAAAAGAAGCCAGAGAAGATAACTTTCTGCAGAGACAGACCTTTAACATGCACTGGGCATTACTTCAGGGAACAAGAATCTTCCCTGACTGTGGAGCTGACCGTGCAGCCGGAAAGGCAGTGACTTCCCTGCAGCTCCCACCCCACCTCTGGGACTCTGCAGCTACAACTTTGCTACCACTGGCAGCTATTTCCCCTGAGCTGTTCTTTTTAGAAACGCAAAGGGGGGCAGTGGATAACAATACAAATCAGGAACTAGAATCAAGGAATACTTGAAAATTTGGAAAGGAGATTGAGGGCATTTAAAATCTAAAATAAGCTTAGCCTAGTGCCTGGTTCAGTAGGTGAGCAAATAAATACTTGTTAAATCCGTGAATGGATATTGCTAAGATCTGAGTAGAACTGAGGTGTGACTAATGGAAACAAATGAGCCATCTTCAGTAAACTTGGCCACTTGAGCACTATGTGCACCTGCTATGTGAACCACAAAGATAAATAAGGCACAGTCTCTGCCTTCAGAAGCGTACAGTCTGGTGGAAGGAGCAGACACCCATTCATCCATTCATTTTTTTCAGCAAACCTTTATGTAGCCCCTGCTATGTCTGTGCCAGTCGCTGAGCCACCGTCCCTAGAGGAGCTCAGAGCCTAGTGGGAGGCACACATCAATATGATGTGTTGTATGAGGTGAAAAGAATGGGAGTTATGGATGCTTAGGGATCAGGAACCGCTGGGAGAACCACTCGAGCAAAAGCTTGGAGGTGGGAGAACATCAGACACATTCAGAGAAGAGCTGGGCTGGGGTGGAGGCAACACAGGGAGGGAATGGATGGGACTAGGGTGGAGAAAGGTCTGTAGTGGGAGATCAAGCCGGAAAGTTAGGTTGGGGGAAAATTGGGGAAGAATTTGAATGCCAGGCTGAGAGCTTAATTCTATAACCCAAAGTGGGGATGGTACCTGATTATTTTTTAAATAACAGAAATAATAGTACATATGAGTGTTTTAGAAAGATACTTCTGACCACCGAACGAGCAAAGACAAGAAACAGGGAACTAGTTAGGAGGACATTGCAATGGTTGAACTAACAGGTCACAAGAATCCCAACTAGTACAGTGGCAGTGGGACCAGAAAGGAGAAGACAGAGGCCAGAAACTCAAGGGGGAAGTTCAAGGCTGAAGGGCTAGGTGCCATTCAGAGGGGTCAGCACGAGAGACCATGCTCTTCACTGGAGAGCTCTCAGAATGGCTGAGGCTACCCCTTAGACCCCTTAGGAAATGAGACTGACAGGGACAAACCCAAAGTCCTGCAACAAGGCCCTAAATCTTTTTTTTTTTTTTTTTTTAATATCGGCTTTGGGAATTCCCTGACAGTCCAGTGGTTAGGACTCGGCATTTTTCACCGCCGTGGCCCAGGTTCAATCCCCCGTCAGGGAATTAAGATCCTTTAAGCCGTGTGGTGTGGCCAATAAATAAATAAATAAACAGATAGAATAAATAGAATAAAATAACAGCTTTATTGAGATATAATTTACATCAGAAGATTCACCCCTGTAAGTTATAAAGCTCAGTGGCTTTAGAATATTCACACAGTTGCATAACTATCACCACTATCTAATTGCAGAACATTTTCATCACCCCAAAAAGAAACATATCCATTAGCAATCTCTCCCCATGCTCCTTCCCCCAAGTCCCTGGTGCCACAAATCTCCATTCTGTCTCTATGGATTTGCCTATTCTGGACATTCCACGGAAGTAGAATCATACAAGATGCGCCATGGCTCCAAATCTTAGTGGGGGAAACTCCCAGGTCTCCATCCTCTGCTCCTCCCCCTAGGATGCACACAACCCACCCACCTCTCCTGCGTGGCAGCAGCCTCACCACCCACCCTTGTCCCTGCTCTGTGTTCCAGCCTTCTCTTGCAAAGCCGGGGAGTTTCTGGACATGAAGGACCAGTCGTGTAAGCCGTGTGCTGAGGGCCGCTACTCCCTTGGCACAGGCATCCGTTTTGACGAGTGGGATGGGCTGCCCCATGGCTTTGCCAGCCTCTCAACCAACATGGAGATCGAGGACAGCACCACAGATTCCACTGAGAACTGCACTTCGTGAGTCGCCCCTCTCCCCACACTCCACGCCCACCCCCATAGCCCCACGCCCCCCTTACCTCCCTGCTCCCCATATTGGGGAAGGGGCTGCAGGGAGCACTTCACAGCCTCCTCTCCTGCTCCTCGGGGTGAGGGCTAGCGCAGGCCCCCACTGGACTGCTGGACATGACATCCACATCAGCCCAGCCTTACTGACCTAAGCTTACCAGCGACTGACAGGTATTTGTGACAGGTGAAAAACACAGGGAAACAGAGACAGGCGGATAAGATCAACAAGGGTTAAATGGCCCAGTCCCTTTAAAACAAAATCCAACTGGATTTCACTGTGGAATTTTGGATCAGCCAATAAACTTCCTCAACTTGATTGCAACACCATGTGCAAAGCCTTGGGTATCTTCCTGGCTTTGGTGCTAACTTCTAAAACTGGTCTGAGTTTATGGGTTTGGGAGGATAAAGTGGGACCAGAGCTTTGATCAGTGATGTCTGAGATCTTCCAAACCCTTTGAGACCCTGATGACCAGAAAATTCTCCAGCTCAGAAGGAAATCTTTTCAGTAATTGAAAGGCTCAGTCCAGGGTGCTTACAGAATGGGTGAGCTATCCTTATCAAATCTCTGGATATTTAATTCCCGGGATGGGAGTATCCTATCCCGGGAATTAAATGATGTGCCTTCTATAGTCCAGGCACTATTCTGGATGCTTTACGTATATTAATTTCTCTAATCCTCACAAGAACGCTTGTGACAGTGAAATAGGTATTATTGTTCCCATTACACAGATGAGGCTCAGTGAGGTTCAGTGACTTGTCCTTCACTACCTAGCTTACAAGTGGGGAGACTGGAATTCACACCCGGTCCAAGCTTTCCACTGCCCCATGCTGCCACCTTCAAATAACATTTAGTGCACGCAAGGCAATATCCAGTCCTAGAGAGGAAAAATAGGGGGATGCATAGATGTAAAAGACAATCGTCCACTGCTCTCTGTTAAATATTGACAAAGAATACAGGAGAAAAGTACATGAAAGTTTCTCTTATACCCAAGCAATCAAAATGATAAAAAAGGATTAATTGTATCACACCTGGATTTCTTTTTTTTTTAACTTATTTTTTATTTTTTTTACATCTTTATTGGAGTATAATTGCTTTACAATGGTGTGTTAGTTTCTGCTTTATAACAAAGTGAATCAGTTATACATATACATATGTTCCCATATCTCTTCCGTCTTGCGTCTCCCTGCTTCCCACCCTCCCTATCCCACCCCTCCAGGCTGTCACAAAGCACCGAGCCGATATCCCTGTGCCATGCGGCTGCTTCCGACTAGCTATCTACCTTACGTTTGGTAGTGTATATATGTCCACGCCGCTCTCTCACTTGGTCACAGCTTACCCTTCCCCCTCCCCATATCCTCAAGTCCATGCTCTAGTAGGTCTGTGTCTTTATTCCCGTCTTACCCCTAGGTTCTTCATGACATTTTTTTTTCTTAAATTCCATATATATGTGTTAGCATACGGTATTTGTCTTTCTCTTTCTGACTTACTTCACTCTGTATGACAGACTCTAGGTCTATCCACCTCATTACAAATAGCTCAATTTCGTTTCTTTTTATGGCTGAGTAATATTCCATTGTATATATGTGCCACATCTTCTTTATCCATTCTACACCTGGATTTCTAAAGTTGGGAGCAATGTCTCCCATTCCTATACTTAAATCTCCTAGAAGCACCATTGTCTGAGCCAGGCAGGAGGCCTCTAACAGTCCAATTTTAATGTTATTTTAGAGTTCAATATTATGAGGCAAAATCATTAGCATGACAATGTTGGCAGCAGAGATAAAGCTGGAGAGGATTCAAGCTGGAAGGAGAGGGAATGTGTGGGTTAAGACAATCAACCCCCATTTTAGTCCTAACAGAGAATGTGACTCACCCTGGACAAGGCGCAGGCCTGGCTCAGTCGGTCAGTCGCCATGCGCATGAAAGCAGGGTTTTCTCGCTGTCTGGGGAATCAGTGAAAGTCCAGAAATCATTCTCTCTCAGTGAGGCCGGATGTGGGCCTGTTCAAAACGACTTGTGTTTCCACAGCACAGAGTGCTTCAGGGCCTGGATCTTAAGGCATCCCACGACATTCCCGGGAAGGGAGAAAAGGAGAAATGGAGAGGAAATAGCCACCTAGAGAGGGTTTGTGATTTCCCCACCGTGCCCCAGAAAGGCAATAACAGCTGCTATCAGATCACCAAGTGTCTGGCTTTCCTGCTCGACTGTGTATTTAGTGTATTTACCTGAATCCAAGCCCACTGCCCCCAAACCAACCCCCGCCAGTGGCGCCTCCCAGCTGGTCTCTGCTTCCACCCCCAGCTTCCTGCAGGCCACCGTCCGCTCAGCAGCCAGACTGATCTTCTTAAACACAAGCCCAATCACAGTACTTTGCTGCTCAAAACTCTGGATTCTGTGGATTCCCAGTGGAATAAAATCCAATAGGTTGTCACAGCCTGCGGGGCCTCTGCCCCCTGCCCCTTCTTCCAGCCTCTCTCCAGTGCCTCTCCTGCTTATAGAGCTCCCCCTGCGCAGGCCACCATGCTCCCGCCCTCCTGGCGCCTTTAACACGCTCTTTTCCAACTCTTCCCCCAGCTGACTCCTGCTTTACCCTCGGGTCTCTGCCTAAAAGTGACTGCCTCAAAGAAGCCATCCCTGACCCCACAGGCCCCTGTTACACGCACATACATCATCTTGTATTTCTCCTTATGGCACTTACCATGGTTATTACTATGTTATTAACTGCGTGATAAGTTTCTGTCTCCTCCACTAGAAATGGAATGCAAGCTCCAAGAGGGAGGGGGTCAGGGCTGTCTTGTGCTTTGCTGTGTCTCCAGTATCTAACACCTGGCCCAAAGCAGACACAAAATAAATAATTGAAAACACAGCAGGCCAACTGAATGGAGTTTCCATGGCAGGTTCCTGAGCCTTCAGGGGGTCATCCTTGGTTCCTGGGTAAATGTCCCAGGACTAAGGTGATGGAAACAGTCCTCAGATCCAAAACTGGGATAAGCAAAAGGGAATAAGAGTGAAAAGGGAGTCGTGGAAAGAATGCTGTACGTTCATGGAGGAGAAATAACAGAACACCAAATACTGTGAAGGTGAAACAAGAATGAGAGAAAGCATTAAAAGGGGTCTCAAACTTTGGAAGCTTCTAAGTTTTCCTGTACAGTTTCTTCTTTCTAACCTGAATTTATAAACAGTGCTACCCAGTGTGAGCTTGGCAGTGTGTCTGGGTGGCCACCACGTGAGAATTCCTCTTTGAAACCTTGCCTCCCTTTTCCCCAGGGCCATGGCAAAACAAAGCAAGTATAAGCAGATCACAGCTAAATGACCGAGGGCAGGTTCCTAATCTCTTCCATGCCTTGGTGTCCTCATTCTAAGAACCAGTGATAAAAATAGTACTCTTCTTAGAGGCTGTGGTAAGGATGAAATGAAATGATACTTGTAAAGATTTGGAGCGATGCCTGGCATTAGAAATCAATCAAGACATGTTATTATTGAACGTGAAACGATCTTCCCCAGGGACCGCTCTGACAAAAGTCAGAATTGTGATGCATTTTGCAAATGAAATCCACTTATGGCATCCTTTTAATTATTCATCCACCTTCAGGAGTTATTTATAGCTGATGCTGTGGAGCACATCAGCTTTAAGTGCTGTCTCTTTTAACAAGGAGAAATCAGTACCGTTAGGTTAGCTGGCTATCTTGGATGAGCTCAGCTTAGGTATTTTGGATATGCTTCCATTTGAGAATAACACTAACTGTTGAAGAGCTGGAAGTACCATGTTATTCTGACAAACACAGGGGGAAAACAGTGGACTAATCTGAGGTCCCCTGAACTGACCATTATTAATCACTGGAGACCTGGGCTGGTCTCAGGCACAGCAGTGAAATAGTGGGATTGTCTTTGATCACCGATCTCCCACATTCATCTGTTTAATGCCCCGAGTCCCTCTTATGTGCCAGGTCCAGGGCTTAGCGCTAGGGACCCAGAAGTGAGCAAGTTAAGTTTGGTCTCTGCCCTCACAGCATCGACAAGCCAGGCAGGAAGACAAGCAATTCAAGAAGAATTAAAGTATGACCAGAAGAGGAAACCAAACTGCAAATAAACTAAGAAAAGATGCTCAACCTCACTAATAGTTAAGGAAATAAGATTTAAAGCCCACTGAGACACTCTGTCCTACCGTATCATATTGGCAACAATTTTAACGTCTGACCGTTCCAGATGTGGGGGCGGGGGTGTGGAGCCAGAACAGCTGTCTCTCACTGCGGGTGGGTGTAGCTGACTCTGGAGCACAACGTGGCCATAGCTGGTAAACTTGGAGGTTCACATACCCTGTGACCCAGCAGTTCTACCCCCAGGCTTTCCACTCAAATGTGCGTAGAAGGAGACGTGCGAGAATGTTCCTAACAAGAGTGTGCACGGTAGCAAAAAATTGGAAACAATCTAGATGTCGGTCAACAAGTAATGCATAAATAAATATGGGCGAACCATAGAAAGCAATCTTATATACTGGTAAAAGTGAAAGAAGAGCTGTTATTCACGTGTGACTATGGATATGGAGGAATCCCACAATCATTATACGTGTTGAGGGAAAAAAAGCAAGTTTCAGAATCCGTGAGCACATAAGATATAAAAACGTGCAAAATGCTGTCATACAGTATATTGTTTAGAAATACATACATAATTAGTGAAGGGCAGAGAACCACATGGGGACGTCAAGCACCAAATTCTGGAAAATGGTTACTTGACAGTGGGGAAAGGTGTGTGTGATGCGGAGGGGGTTGAGATTAGCCAGGGGTACGCCAAGACTTCTGCTGTGTTGCATTTCATAAGCAGGGTGGCTGGTCTTAAATATTTCATAATATGTTTAAATGAAATACAGGAGGACTGTGATTATGAGAAAGGGAACAGTGAGAGCTGAGGGCACACGTAGCAGAGGCAGGTAAAGGAGTCAAGGAGGACTTCTCAGATTAGGTGACGTTTGCTCTAAGGCACGAGTAGGAATTTAATAGATGGAGGGAGGAGGAAGTTTGTTCCAGGAAGAGAGAACAGTGTGTGGGAAGACCCAGAGGTGAGAGAAAGTTTGGCAGAAGAATTGAAAGCAATGCTGTAGGGCTGGAGCATAGAGAGTGGGTGAGGAGTTCGTACCCCATCCTAAGGGCAACAGCGAGTCAGAGTTTTAAGCAGGGAAGTGACAGGGTCAGATTTTTGTTCTGGAGGCTCTCTCCAGCCACACTGTGGAGAAGGGATTGGAGGCAGCAGGACTGGATGCAGGGAGGCGAGTTGGGGCTGATTCAGAGCTGAGGGACATGCGGGGAAGAGAAGGAAGAGCCCTTGGGTAGAGCAGACACAGTAGAGGTATTTAGAAAACAAAATCAACATGCCTTCTCCCTTCCCCCTTCCCATAAAAACCAGTTCCTAGTAGCATCTAAAAGTGGACATTTCAAAACAAAAACCAAAACCAAAAACCAAAGAAATGGGTGGATTAGATTGGATGGACTTCTGAGTTCTGAAGAATAGCTTTATCTACTAACTTTCTTTGACAGCTTTGAGTTTGGCAAACCTGGGTTTGAATCTCAGCCCTGTCATTTGCTGGCTGTGTTATACTGGGCAAGGCACTCAACAAGCCTCCGTTGTATCATCCCTTAAATGGGGACAAAATTGCATTTCCTCTTACTGATAGAAAGAAATCATGAATATAGAATATGTAGTTCATCATCTGGGAGCTAGTAAGCAACCGATAAATATTATCTACCTCCCCCTATCCACAACCTTACCTGCCATCTAGCTTCTGGGCAGACGTTCTGCATAATGTGGAGGTACACCTACCTGTCCTCCTCTTGGCTGTACCTCCAGGCTCCTTGACTTGGAGGTCATTCTTCACTGAGCATTTTCAGGTGTAAGCTTCCACTTGTGAATCACAAGTCTGGAATTCTGCAGAGACCTAGCAGGACGTGAGACCTGCATATCGCACAAGCCCTGGTGGGCTGGGCTCCTGACTGTGAACTTGGCTCCTGTTCCCTCACAGGTCCAAGTGGGTTCCTCTGGGTGACTATATCTCCTCCAACACGGATGAGTGCACGGCCACGCTGATGTACGCCGTGAACCTGAAGCAGTCTGGCACTGTTAACTTTGAATACTACTACCCAGACTCCAGCATCATCTTCGAGTTTTTTGTAAGCCCCTGGCTGAGGGGGAAGGTGGGAGGTAAAGACCCTCCAAGGCTCAGATTCATTTACAGGAATCACACGCATAGTCCTGCCCGGGAAGTTTTCACAGTTGTCTTCCCTCTGGAGAGAACTGTGGTCAAAGTGAGCTGAGGCTTCAAAAGGCAAAGGGAAAGGTAGAAGTCAAAGGACCATGGGGGGAAGAGTAGATAGAGTCTGGGAGATTAGTAGGTGTTCTGCCCTGTTCAGACATGAAAACAGCACGTAACAGCTCTGAGTTAACGCATAATTTCTTTAGTGTCCACGTACTGACATCTTGTGTGTGAAACTAGCTCCTGCCATACTTCAAATCTCATGACTGCTGAGCTCAGTCCTCCCATAAGAAGGGCCCTCTGAAGGGCTGGGGCATCATGGGGTAAGCAACTCGTTTCCTTAGAAAGCTGAGAGACTCTGATCTCAAATTCCTGCT